TACCTGTTGCAGTTTACAGTATAATATAATATATTAATAATCTTACACTGCTGAAGGTTGCTAGCTATTCTTATTTTTTGTACATATGATTTGTCTTCTAGTGAGATTGGAGTGGTAAAGTCCAAAATTTACAAGATTTTTTTTCTCCTTATGCAATCCATAGTTTTTACTTCACAAAATTATTATTTGGTAATAAATATTATTGTGTGTTTACATTGTGCAGGTACAGGTTCACTTATTTGTGTTTACATGCATAGACTAGAAATACACCTGAGGTATGGTTCATTAGAAGCTGCCCACTTTGTGTTTTTGTGCCTTTCACTGGGACCTGTGCCACACTGAGTAAATTAGACTGTCTGACACTCACAGGGAATCTCCTGTCTCTGTCTTCCCTGGGATGGGATAACTTGTATTCACCACCTTCTCCTGTGTTTCTTATATGGGTTTTGGCGATTCAACTTTACACATTGTACTGTCTACACAGTATAACAGTAGAAGTTCCCGAATGTTACAAAATCATTCTGATTTGGGGGATTCAATACTAAAATAGTTCTTTTGTAATTGTGTGTTGGTTCATGGATTTCTCTATGCTGATCTGAACATATTTTTCTGTCTTTTGTTTCCATTTTTGTTTAAAATTCCAATCTCCTTAATTTTGTTTGCTTTGCACTAATTCTTTCTTTTGTACATGTAAAATTGGTGGGCTACTGAGAATAAAATTACTCTTTTGTTCTGTGAGTAAAATTTGAAAGTATTTTACATAATCAGATGAATCCCATTTCCTCCCATTTATATGAAGACTACACTTTCAATGTTTTCTTAGTCTGCTTTTGCTGTGTATTATATTGTCATGTGTATCTGTAAGTTGTATAGTCTCCATTCTTTATAGACACTAACACACACATACATGCATTAGAATTTGCTTTTTTTAATTTTAGCATTTTTCTTTGTATTTGTGCCATTGTAAATAATCATTGTCTTATATTTTCATAAATATTAGTTACTTTTCTCGTTGCTCCAACTAAATACCTGACAAGAAATAAATTAAGGAAGTAAAGACTTAGAAAATGTTCAGAAACTTCGGTCCTACCTGGCAGAGAAAGCATAGCAGCAGGATAGTGCACATCATGAATAGTCATATTGCATCTGCAACCAGGAAGTAGAGGTAAATGATAGTTTTCATTGGACTTTGTATCCCTTTATTTGGGGTGTTATTTTTAGGTTCTTTATTTTTAGCTTCGGTGTCTTATGTGGTACATGCATATATGGGCGTATATTTAGTGTATGGGTGCATGAGCATGTGTATAAGCCAGTGGTAATACCTGCCTTTATCACCCTGAGCCTTCATTTTTCCTTTTAGATAGACTTCTTACTGAGCTAGAAACCCACTGTTCCAACTTTGCTTTCTGTTCAGCAAGCTCTTATTATCTGCCCATCTCCATCTGCCAATATAGAGATTACAAGTATGTACAGTCATTTCTTATATATTGTGTGGGTGGAATGGATTTGAACTCATATCCTCATGCTAGAACAGGAAGTATTTTTACCAACTGAACCATCTTCTCAGCCCCTTGCTTTCTATTTTTTAAGGCATTTTGGGACTCCAAACCCCAAGAAGAGTGCCATGTACATGAGGATATGTCTTCTATCCTCATTTTCACTGGAAATGCATTCACAGACATGTCTAGAGGTGTGTATGTGTCCTAGGTAATTCCAAATAACAGTGAAACAGACAATGAAGACAAATGATTACATCTTATTTACCTCACTGCATATGCCCTTGGGTGCAAGTGGCTTCAGATTCCATCAGAGGGAATCAGCTCCCTTGGAATTGTGGTAGAGACCTCAGTGAGGGAACTGACATGGGACCTCAACTATGATCCACTTTAAGAGCAGTACATACTTCTTCTGTGCTGGGTAAGTAAAATGCATGAAGAAGGAGTGATGGGTGGGTGACCTGTTGACATTCATCTGTTGTTGGGAATCAGTTCCTGTGTAATTTGGTTTAGGAGCCTATGGGGGTTTCCACCCCAACTGATAATTAGTAAGATGTGCCTAATGGAGTGTGTGGTTTCAGAGTTAAGTATCAACCAGTGCTCTCTAACCAAATGTAAAGCATATGCATGTGTGATAGCTGTTTGCAGACCAATATCACATATTTTGTATGATTTATAACAGTCTATTGATTTACACACATGTGAGAGCAAACAGACCTCTTGTTCTCTGCAATGAGTTAACAGTTGGCATTTTGAGCCTGTCCATTAAAAAACTGACAGGTCTGTGTGTTCTGCATCTCGGTTCACAGATTCTAGTCAACTTGAAAAGATTGATGTTCTATGTGTTTTAAAATGTCAGGGCCACTTCCCCTGCATTGAGTGGCAATGATTTTACTGACATTTATTAAAGTATTACCGAGTGTAAATTTTCATTTCTTGAGATCAATATCCTTGATTCTCCTTTGACTCCTCCCCCTTCCTTCTCTGTTAGCATTCAGGTATTTTTACTGGGCTGCCTTTGGAGTTTTGACAGAATATATGCTTAGCTGAGGCCACTAAGCGCACCACCTGTGCATATATTCACTCGGTTCCCTTTTAAAAGGGCCTTTTCCATCTTTAATTTCTCTCTCTCTCTTCCTCTCTTCCCTCTCTGCTGTTGCTCCTGTCTCCTGAGGCTGGTCTCCTTCCCCCTCCCCCTTTTATGATCCCTTTCCCCTAATAAAAAACACATCTTCTTGAACTCAGTCACATGGCAACTCTCTCTCTCCCTCTCTCTCTCTCTCTCTCTCTCTCTCTCTCTCTCTCTCTCTCTCTCAATCTCTGTTTTTTTAAATACAACAATGTCTTCCTCATTCTTCTGTGAAGATTTGATTCCTATGAGTCATTGGAAGTATTTGAACTGTGCTACAACAAATGCCAGTTTTGAAGGAATGCTAAAACTCACGATACTGGGTAGAAAGCACAAGTTATTTCAGACATGGTTCTGGCCTTTTATTTGGTCCGAATGCGTTGTATCATGGGTGTAGAGTGAACTTTCCACCCATGTGAGATCTACTATTGGGCCCTGTGTGGAGGCAGAGCATGACAGGAGAGTGTGTGTGAAAGAACTACACTGGTTACCCTATGCCAGGTCAGAACCAGAGCTAGTCATCAAGAACAGGGTCCCACCTGTCTCTGCTGCTTTTGATGTGTATTTCAAGTGTGCACCACCTTGACTGGGGTTTTCACGTGGCTTCTGGGAATCCAGTTCACTGGGTGTAGACAAACACTTCATAAACTCACCCATCCCTCAACCCTGCATGGAAGTTCTTAACATGAATATGCAGATTTTCTAATATGTTCTTAAAGAATGTGGGATCTGTACTTATGGCTTCTTTGCATGACTGGCAGCATTTTTAAATGACATTTTCCATCACCATTCAACTTTTATTAATAGAGTATCCATTTTACTGATCATCTCAAAACCAACTTTTTATTCCATTCATTTAATTTTTAAATTTAGAATTATTGCTTATACTCCTATATAGTTTGTTCTCTGTTTTCTGGTTTATCTTGTATTTTTCTTATTTCATGACATGAACACTAATTTAGTTTATTTTTCTTTCTAAGGCAGACATTAACTACCACTTACTTCCCACTGATGAATGATTTATCTGACTTTTACATTCTTTCAGTTCTAATTTTAATTTTCCTGAGTTTATCTCTTTTTTTGGTTTTTTGAGACAGGTTTTCTATGTGTAGCTTTGGAGCCTATCCTGACACTCACTCTAGAGACCAGGCTGGCCAACCCACCTTCCTCTGCCTCCTGAGTGATGGGATGAAAGGCATGTGCCAGCAACACCTAGCCTGATTTTATCTTTTAACTCATGTATTATTTAGAAGCATGCACTTTAATTCCCTCCTCATCTTTGCAAATTATAAACAGTCTTGGAATGTTTTTCCCAATTGTGACTATCTGTACTATAGATTACACGTTGCATTGTGCAGCAGACTGTGAATGCTTATTAATGCCTTTAGTTCTCTGAACACCACAGGAGCGACAGTTAATGGGTCGCTCTGCTTTGCACTTTTAGAGTAACAAGTAGAGAATGTCTGAAATCCATTACCTCAGATGCCAGAGGAGCATTTTCTGGATGCACCTAGAGAGACTGAAGTAGGAAGTTTCTTGATGCCCTGTGTACAGTGAATTTTGAGACAGCACTTGGGGATCCAAGAAAACTAGCATCAGCACTCAGCAAAAACAGTAGAATGAAAATTAGGGGGATGGTTCCTCATATTCTTGTGCTGGTTAGTGTTTTGTCTAATTGATTCAAGCCAGGGTCTGGGAAGAGGAACCTCAGCTGAGAAGATGCCTCCATCAGATTGTCCTGTAGGGGAGTCTGGGGACAGTTTCTTGATTAATGATAGATGTGAGAGGGCCCAGACCACTGTGGGCTGTGCCATCTCTGGAAATTGGGTTGTAGGAAAGGAAGGCAGAGCTAGCAATGAGGGACAAGCCAGTAAGCAGCATTTTTCTCTAGCCCATGCTTTAATTCCAGCCTTCAGTTTCCTGTCTGGAGTTCCTGCCCTGACTTCCCTGCATGATGAAATGTAAGCTGTAAGATAAACCCTTACCTCCCCAATATGGGTTTGGTCATGGTGTTTATCACAGAAATAGAAAGGTAAGAAACTTGGCTCATGTGCTTTCTCCTTCTGGGCTTCTCCTTCAGCACATCATGAAGAACTGACATGCTGTGCCACAACAATGGACTACGAGCAGAGAACAACTCATCATGTCTCATTCCTCTTCTTATACTTACTAGGAATTTTATTCCTGTCCTCATGGGGGATATTCACTGTTTTTTAGTGACAGGCAGCTCTTGGACTTGGAATTCAAAGCCAACTAGCATAAATCAGGAAGACACTGTCACAATAATAAAATAATCTGGAGATATAATTCTGGGCAAAAATCCATTTTGACTGATTTGACCTCTGCATAGATACCTAAAGTTATGTGATCACTACCTGGTTCCTCAAACACCTCAGAAGCTGGGGGCCTTGGAGGATCTTGCATTGTGGGTGTAAGAACTTGGCACTGGATACTTCTCATCATCTCCAGCCTTGAATTCTCCATCCCCATGCTTGAATTCTCCATCTCTTCTGCACTCCCAAATTCTGTAAACCTAAGGATGAGGGAGGCCAGGGTCTAGCCAAGAGATTACTGAAGATGATCACAGGTGCAGTGTCTTGGGATGATCTGGTACATGAAGTTGCTTACCTTGGAACATAACCATAGCTCTGGGGCACATTATATTCCCTTGGTATTTGTGGAAATCAAACCAGTTTGAGGTGGCCCAAGAAGGAGTTTCATGTGACTCTTCCTTAAGGCCTATCTTGTCCTTGCCTAGAGCCACAAAGAAACTCTTACTGGTAATATGACCACAGATATGATTGATGGAGTACATCAGGGATCTTGAACCAGATACAAAGATGCTGAAGCTGAGGCTGGGAGAGCTGGAATGACCTGGGAGACAAGGTCCCCGGAGATGCCAGGAGAAAGTAGAAGGGAAACTGAGAGGTGTGGCTGCTTCACTCTGAGAGCTTTTTGTGGGCTTGTGTGCATGAAAACGTCACATGGAAAAAAGACAGAAAGGCCAGAGACATATCCTCAGATGTGTAAGAAGCTTCCTTCCCCTCTGCATGCTTCTGTTCATAACCACTCCATTTACATAAGGATACAACTGAGGCCACCCTATTGGAATGCAGTAGTCTCTACTGTCAAAAAGCAATGACTCAGTACCAGCTAGATGACTTAAGACTTGTGGAGCATGTTTGTATTTTACAATCCTCAGTGCTGGAGGAGACCTGACAATGCTGGAATGGGTCGGTTTTCCCACTCGGACCTTCAAAAGAAAGGCAGTGATAGATTCATGGCCAATGTGGGCAGAGTTGCTGGGACCCTGGGGCAGATAGCCCAGCACTGCAGGAGGTGAGAAAAGCATCCTGGACCTCATAGATTACCACCAGGGGACCAAGTATTGGGTAATCTTCCTTGAAATGTGTGGGAGAGAAACTCACCAGTCCAAGCTGCAACTGAGTAGTACCCCCAATATATACCCTCCTCCAGAATCCTGATCCAACAGTACCACCCATGATTGACAGCTCTCCAATACCCTGCTTCAAAATTCCATTGGCTCACTTTTCAGCCATCTCAAAGAAGATCATCCGGTCATAGTTGCTTGTACACTGCCATTCCCGCAGACTCCTCCACAGGCCCTCCTCGACATTCATGGTAGGATTGTTCTGAGCCAGGGACCGAAGCATTGGACTGTAATTCATTAGAAGCACTCAATCCAATAATCCAGACCCAGTAGACCCATCCCAAGATGCATCTATAACCTTGAGTCAGAATAAAGTCAGCTACTAGGAACTCCTAATCATGCAACAGACTCCAGCGCAAAGATCTATGTCTGTTTTCCAGCCTGCCATGAGAGTCTCCTTCTATCACTGTGTGTGGAAGAATGCATGGGGCTTAGGTTCCCAACATGGAAGTGGGGGTGACAAAGTCAAAGTGGAAGTCATTTGAAATGAGGCCTTGGTTGGTAACCAAGCTTAGGACATGATGTGGGGCTCTCAGGATGGGATAGCGCTCTTATTGAAAGGGAGAAGAGGCCTCCCCAAGTTTTCTTTTAGTCCTGTGAGAGAGCCATGGAGACTTCAAGAACTGGCTCTTCAAGTTCTTGTCTGGGTCTCCAGTGTCCAGAACTCTGAGATAGCAGGGCCTGTGTCTTCAGTCTTCTAGTCTACCTGGTGATATGACTGAGCTGACTGGCAAAATGCACAGAATGATCTGGAACCTAGGGTCAATGACTGGGGCAATGGTGCAAATCACTGCTGAGGATAAACCTGGAGCAAAGAGACCAAAAGTTTCCCCATGGAAGGTCTAGAGCCTTTCTGTCTTAAGTGAAATTCCTTAGACGGTGGGGTGGGGGACAAATGTACAGGTCTTTCTGGAATCCAGAACTCTTCCCCATCCTGGTTGTGACATGCTGTGGGCCCTAAATGACACTAAGGTCAATGTTAGAAGTTAAAATGATAAGGCAAAGAACTACCAAATGGAGTGAAAGGCCTAAATCCAAACCCTAGCTTTGTGGGACTCCAGGATCCCCCGTGTGACACCTCTACTTCTCAGAGTGTGACTCTCTGGAGTGGTTCTGTCACCTTCAGCAACTTCCTTGTCCACCACACACTCATCATGTTGGAGCCCAGTAGGGCATTCCAGTCACAGGTGATACTCACATGAGGAAGCAGGAGAAAGCTGACACGTCTGGAGTCTGGGATAGGTGCTGCTGGACCAGAGTCTTGATATGCTTCCAGTGCCAGAAATTCCCATAGAAACTGTCTTGTTCGACAAGCAGTTTTCTGGAGAGTTGGTTTGAACAGTGGCTGCACAACTCTCTCCAACTGCTCCTTTTGGAGATGGTGCTGAGTTAATTGGGGACCTGACAGGAACCAGCTGGACAACTGGCTGTGTGGTTGGAGAGTGAGATCCCAGGACCCACAATCCTTCTTGGGGCTGGACATCTGAAGCAATTTGATCATTTATGAAGGTATTTGCAGCAGGTGCTGTCATGAAGAGGGAAGCAGGGCAACCCATACCCCCACCTTGGGTCACAGGGACATTACAATTGAGGGACTCCTCTGTGAGGACAATGTTGGCATTGGGCATGGGCTATACAGGCCTGCCTGGTGTCCCCACTTGCACAATGTTTAGAGGTACAGCTATATCCAGAGTTGTACTTCCAGCTTCTGCCACCAAAGACATCCCAGGCAAGGCAGAAAACACTAGAGGATTCCAGGGAGAGATGCCTCTATTCAGTAGGTGTGCTGGGGCTTCCCAGAATAATTGGAGTGTTGCCTGGGGGGCAGTTGGGAGAACAGGCAGGGTAGCAAATGTAGACATGGAGGCACTGAGGTTGACAGTCATGTTCTGTCCCAATGCAGATGCTGGAAAGATAAAGAAAAACAGGAGGGCAGCTCTCTGGTCCTGGTAGTCAGTGGTAATTGGGGGAGGGTCATGGGGACGAGGAAATTGTTCTGGTTGCAGATGTCCCCTAGGGAATTCCCTGCTGGGTTCATCTGGCTGAGCATTGTTCCAGCAGGGATCTTCCTCTCCATTTGCCAACATTCCCTGATTGCTGCTGTGGAGAGGAGCCCTCGGCTTTCCCACCCCTGAGAGACTCTTTTGGGAATCCCTGGCAGAAAACTCATCAATGTTCTAGCTCTCTCGCTAGAGATGGATCAGTGTGACTCTGTCTGGACCACTATGACAGTAATGATGCCCGCAGGAGTCAAGGCACTATCAATGAGGGCTAGTTTCCAGAAGGGCACTGTAAAGGTGGCGGGTTTCAAATATTTTCACCTCAATCCCTTCTGAGTGTTCCTTTCACACTCTCAAACCCCTTTCATTTCTAGCCCAGCACTGCAAACCAAAACCACCTCTGTGCTACCGTTGGTCATCCAGGTACAAAGGACCCCTTTAAAAGAAACACCTCTGACCACTTATGATCTCTTTACAGCCTTTTCTTTCCTGCTGTCTTTCTGCTCTCTGATTCCTGATCTCTCTCTCCTTTTCTCCCTTCTCTCTCTCCTTCTCTCTGTGTTTCCCACTATTCCCTTGGGGCAGACAGGACTTTTCATGTTTTCCTCTTCTCTTATGTCTTCTCTGCGTCTCTGTGTCTGTGTCTCTTTACATATTTTCTCCCACCCCATTTTCTAATAAAATTTCTGACTAAGCTCTGTCTGCCTAGTGTGTTTGTCACTCCACCTCTGTCACCCTCACCTGCCATGGAATCTGCCAAGGTTCCCCTCAAGTTTTATCAAAACAAGTAGGGTGAAAAGTTAAGAGCAATCACCCATTTCTTTGTTAGTTGACGTTTCCTAACTGCTCTGCTTCTGAAGACATCAACTACCTGGTGATAGAGAAGACTTCCTCCATGGGAAGGAATGAGTAACTCTGGGCTGCCAGTGGATAGAGTAACCTCCATCCCCACAGTGAGGACCCCACTGGGCTGTTTCTTGCCTGGCCATTTCTCGCCACTGTCCTTCAAAGGTCTAGTGTGGCCCAGTTAAATTTCTGAGATCCATAATTTCATAGCACAAGTTCCACTGGCTTGGAGAAATGACCCAGAGCTCAACTGTTGCCCATGACATTCCCTGAGACACCACAGTGAACCATTCCACCACATCTGTAAACTGAACATAGTAGGCCTGCCTGCCACACATGAAGAGCCAGTCTAGGGCCTGTCACTGTATCTTCTGATCAAGTCTGCTTCCTTTTGTCAACTTAGTTCCACCATTGCTCTGTTCATTCTGCCATAAGCTGTTTCAGCTTCCAAGGTGAGATGCCTGTAACAAGTAGAGAATGTCTGAAATCCATTACCTCAGATGCCAGAGGAGCATTTTCTGGATGCACCTAGAGAGACTGAAGTAGGAAGTTTCTTGATGCCCTGTGAGAAGTCCAGTGCTGTTTCCTACCCACTCCCTTTGTCCAGTAAGTCATTGCTAGTACAGATTTAAACAGCCAGTGGCAGGGGCTCAGGTGCCACACTCTGATACTCCAGGCTTACCTTCTGAAGTTATTCCTACAGGCTTGGACAGTAACCATGCCTGTCTGGTAGATCCATGGTGCTCAATCTCAGAGGAATCACTCCAAGATCACCAATATGTGCCAGAGTCTCAAGAGAACCAGCCACAGCTTTGAGCAAGCCAGGGTCTGGGAAGCGGAACCTCAGCTGAGAAGATGCCTCCATCAGATTGTCCTGTAGGTGAGTCTGGGAAAGTAAACTGCTCCAGAATGTGGCATTGAGCATTCTACAGTGGGGGAGTGGCAGAGAATAAAAGAGGGCTGGGGACATTCCGTGAGGGGTTGTGGCATGTGCATGGGAACCTTGGTCAGTTCAAATGATGCATCCTTGTTGGAGGTGATTCACATATGTGGTGTTTGCCTCTAGGCTCATTTTAATGGTTTCTTACAGTCACAACACACTGGGGACACCAGTGCCCTCTTCCTTCATTTCGTCTTTAGTAGACCTTGTTTTAATCCTCCATCCTGAGTCGCATCACTCTTACTGAGGGTAGGCTCTTAAGTATTTTTATAATGTTTACACTCACTCAACCAATTACATATTCAGACAAATATAGAGGGTGTAAGCAACAGAGCCAGACATATTTGTAATTATGATCTTGGGAGATCCTTGGATCATCCTGCCGTGTGCATATCATTCTTCATGAAGCAGTCCTTGTGTGTCCAGCCAGGGCAGTACTGAGATGTTTGCACCCTGGAGCATGATATTCTCAGTCACCCTTTTGCTAGACTCTCCAGCCCATCAAGGCTTTGTTCTGCATAAGTAGCCCACGAGACTCAAAATTGAAAATACTTCTCTTTTCATCGGTTGTATTGAGTCCTTTTATTGCAAACAGATATTTGACAATTAAAAATCTCTTCTCCACCACAAAAAATAATGTGTAATCTTACGTGACAAATTATGCCTCCTGAACTCCTCAATGGGAACAGGGTTAAATGGGAGAGACAGGAAGAGAGAAAACATCCTTCTACTTCAAGACACAGAGGCTCAGGGCCCCCATTTTCCAGGCAGAGAAACCCATTTCCTGTGTACATTTTGACAAAGCCAGGGTTCCATTTGCCATTGTCCAATACTGATTTATGTATGTGCATGTGCTTACCTCATTCCTAGCGCCAATATTATCCTGGAATCACTAGTTGTATGGTTCCATCTTAGTTTTTTTATGTGCCGGTGTCCTTGCAATCATGTTTCCTGGTTGCATCTCTGACTTAATATAATTGTTAATGTTAGGATGCTAAAGCAAAAGGCATCCACAACAAAAAAATATTTCCATTTGTATGACCATAGCACAAACTGGAGATGACATTGCAATGCCTGTTGGGTAAAATGCCCAAATGTTCTACACTGTGGTAAGCCGTTTGCATCTTCCACTTTGTGAGTTTTTGACATTAATTGAGAAGACAAGTGGAGGCTTTCAGTAGCATGAAATGTTTGATATTCTATCATAAAAAGTAATTAGCATTAGATAATTTTGCTCCATTGTAGGACAGTGTCTGTTCTGAACATGAATAAGGTGGGTCAGGCTAGGTACAATGCTTTAATTGTTGGTAAATTAAATATGCATTTGATTTGTGATATTTTCTGATGATGATACAGCATCGTAACTGAAAGTGCAGGTGCCTTTCTGTGTGGGGGCATGGTTGTAGCACCCCTTTAAAGAAAGCTTGTCTGGTTCCTCTGTTAAAAATATGTCTCATCATGTGACAGGAAGGGTTGCTAGGAAATGGTTAAGGAGGGAGGTGGACTCAGAATCCAGAGACCTGCCACAGAAGCTGCTGAGTGCAAGCCCTACCTCCCTGGTAGGAGTCAGTAGTGTTCCTGCTGTTGCAGGGTTTTGGGACCGGAAGAGAGTTTCAGAGGGACCCAGACTATCAAGTGTCAATTAAAGGTAGGATGACACTGATTTCATAAGAAACGTTTGTGAACTGACATTTATTAGCAGAGCTCTCCTTGTGAAAAAGATTTTAACATAGTGGATGTTGTAAGAAGGACCTAAAGGCAGAGTCTAGGTAAATCTTGTCTCAGAGTGTCTCCTGGGTCAGATTTTTTTTAAATTTTGGCTACCAGTGATCCTTATGGGAGCCTTCAGAAAGCATGGTAGATGACATGCAACTATTTTTGAACAGTGCAAAGGATTCAAATGACATCTGAAGAACTAAAGCTCTTTAACAGTTTAGGATAAGGATGCTAAGTGAATGGATGGAAGGTCTGTAATCCCCGCTTTTAAGAAGGGATGGATGTCCAGGTTCTGTGAGGAGCCCAGGTGTGAGGTGGGCGGTGCTCCACAAGCATTATTTTCCTCTCCTGCAAAGCTCTATGCATCACCTCAGTACTCCTGTTTGCACATGCTATTGGAGTTCCAGTGCAAGCTCCTCCATCCTCCCTCTGCTACCTGCATCTGTTCCTTATGAGCTCTCTCTGACACAGCACGAGCTCGCTGGCATGAGCATGGAGGATGCTCGAGCAAGCATACCTCTCAACTTTTGGCGAATATGGCAGTGTCCATAATCCGTTACATAAAAATAGGTAATGGAAAGTCTGGCCTAAATTCCTGGGCATTCAGTCACCACTGTTTCTGGCCCTTGACAGTTATTTCTTGGTATCTTGCAGGCAGTGTGACCCTCCTGAGGCTGGCCTGAACCTTGGGAATTTTTATATCACTGGCATTGGCAAGTACACAGACCAGGGAATCTTAACATCATTCTGTAAGCTGTCTGGTTTTTGACGTGTGTGTGTTGGGGGTGGATGGGCAGAGTTAATAAATGAGGTGTGAACTTTGAAACTGTACCTCAGCCGTGTCCCCTACAATCTCAGGAAGCTTCCTAAGCGTTGGAAATCATTGCTCAGTTTAGCAAACAAATTTCTCATGTTGTTGAAAAAATGGGAAATTTTTGACATGTAAGCATAGATATCAGCCATAATTATAATCTTCATTTTGTAGTGTTGTAGCTCTTTAAGTTGTTGTTGATGTCTGTGACTTTTCAAAATTGAATAACTGGCCTTTAAAAGTCAGCCTTTTATTTCCTTTTGGACCTTAAGAGTGGCAATAATAATAAAAAAAAAACATTCTCTGAAAATCAGATCTGTAAAAGGAATTTAAACAAAGACTATTTTATTATTAAATTGTATTCAACATTTATGTGTTTGTGTGTGTGTGTGTGTGTGTGTGTGTGTGTGTGTGTGTGTGTGTGTGTGTGTGATTTTCATGAATGAGAATTGTGGGGTGATTATACTTGTGTGTATTTTGGTGGTGTGCTTGCTGACTTTATGGGGGAGAAACTCAGGATATTATGAATGGCTGTATAATTTTTAGCACATAAAATTGGGAAAATGTACTAATTTGTAGTTTTGCATTACTAGTGGTGAGATTCTAATGTGTGTATTCAGATGTGGGTGATGGTCTTTGTTTAGATATTTGTAATGAGGAGATTTTGGTATTGTGTAGAGCTTTATTTCATGTAGACAATGTGAGATAACTTTGGATTTTGGATTAGGTATCTGTAATTTGAGTTTCCAAATATTTTATTTCTTTTTTCCCTTGAAAGTTGAGATAGTTTTGTTTGTCGTGGAGTTTGGAAGAAACGTGTTCACTTTGGACAAGAAATAAGTGAATGTGGACAATGTTAAGAAATTGTGCATATGTATGTGGCAATACAAAAGGGAGAATATTATTGAAAAATGTAGGGTTATTTGTATATTTGGAATGTCATGGATGGTTATAGGATTTGTCTACTGTGTTTTTAGCATGTGAAGGCAGGTGTGTCACCAGATTTTTATAGGGGGATGGGGAATGTGGAATGTAGTATGGTTTGTATACTTGTACTGCCAGATTCATATGGTTCTATATTTGGCAGAGGGAGGATATATTTCTTTGTGGATATTCAAAGTATGTCATCAAATTTATGCAAGTGTTGAGATTGCACATTTGTGCACAGATGTATTTGTACTTTTGTAGTGTTATATTATGTGTATTTGTACTTTTGTAGTGTTATATTATGTTTGATGTAGGTGGAGAAATCTATGAGAAGGGAGTTTACATTTTCTTGTATGGCTTATGAATGTTTATATTTATATATGTCCAGATTTTTGTGTGGAGAATGTTTAGACAAAAAAAATGTTTACTAGAGTGACATGGCAGTTTAGGTGAAGGTTTTCTGATGTTCTATACATGGTAAATAGAGTTGAATTAGTATAATAAATCAAATAAAAAAGGATGTGTATATCTGATGGGTACGAGAGTGTGTACATTTCATCGGCAAGTTTGTGGCAGCTGTTGGCTGCATTGGGGTTCATAGCATGATTATTTGTTAATATTGATGATGTAGGAAGTGGTTTCTAGCAGAAATAATTCTGGTTCAGCAGATGGTTTGTATTTGTAATTTAAATGTTATGTGGGTAATATTTCCTTGACTTGGGTATTTACACTGCTTGTATTTATCTATCCATGAGTACATGAGATATGTATATTTGTGCATTGAAAAAGAGGTCATTTGTTATATGCACTAATTATTTTGCATTGTTGTTATAAAACATTATGACCAAGGCAACTTATACAATCAAGGTTGTATTTGGGATTACAGTTCTACAGGGTCAGATCCATCATGGAGGAAGGGAAGCATGGAGGGTTTGGCAGCAGGAACAGTAGGAGGCAGAGCAGTCACATCTTGAACCACAAGCACCATTCATAGAGACTGAAATGGAAATGACATAGAGGATCTAAACTCTCAAAATCCACCTCCAGAGACTTCCTGCATCAAGGCTGTACCTGCTAAAACAGTGCCACCAACTAGGGTCCAAATGTTCAAACATCTGAGACTGTATGGAACATTCTTATTCAGAACACAAGTGTATAAATGCACATTGGTTTATGCATTGGCTTGGTTAATGATGGTGTTTCTCTCATGGCCTGGCATGTCTCAGCCACAAACCGTAGAAGCCAAGAGGTCTGGCCTGATTTGGGGAGTGTGGACTTGGGAAATCCTAGTAACCCAATGGCAATAAAGACCAAACATAGGCATCTTGCCATCTTTGGAGAGTTCACAGTTCCATGCTGCATAACTGG